GTTTTTTTTTTTTTTTTGTAATATGGATTATTTTCTCAGCACATTTTTTGAGGCACTGCCTTCCCTTGCCTCCTCAGAGGAAACGCCCCTAATGCAATGTTTCCTTTGTACAGCTACACACCTCCAGACATTTAGTATGTGCCTACCAGAATTGTACACCTAAAGCATTGAAGCGTGCATAAAATTCTCTTCTAACACAGCATGTTCATTAATCTCTCCCTTCATTTTGCCACGAAGAAGACAAAATTATTTTTTCTTGAGAGGGAACTGTAAATCCCCGTCTGGGTTCAGTTAAAAGGCTTAAAATGTCACTAAATGACAAATTAGAAGTTTCCTCTAGCGTTATAAGACGAGCTGTTGTGGCATCCGAAAGTTACCTGGAAATGAGGTTAACATGCAGTGAGCACTGGAGTTATTAAAACAGTTGACGGTCTCATTACCCATCACAGATCTTGCCATGGGATCTCAACAGCAATTCAATTGTACAGCATCAAAGCATTTATTCACCGGAAAGTGTCACAAGAAAGAGCGCCCATGCTGAGAATTTCAACTTAATACATTTCAACGGATTTCAGCTGCTTACTGGAAAGCTAAAAATATTCATTTGAAACTCTGAACCCCCCCCCCCCACAAAAAAAAAGAAAAGAAACCAGGACCACGTCAAAACTGAGACGCTGAACATTTACTTGCATTCGCAGAACATGCGATACGAGATGGAATGACAGTTTTTCTGTTCAGCGCAGTGCTGTGATATCTCTGTCAGGAGTTGTGTGCCAATGCTGGACATCTAGTGAGCCAGCTCAGATTGTGGGTGAAAAGAGACTTTGGCATTTGTGAAGAGTTTCCATATGTATCACTTCTGTTGTGGTTCCACTGATCCACAAAACCAGCCGAAAGGATAAAGCGACGAGTCTCTGTGCCAGTGTAAGGAGCAGGAGCTCTTGCGAACGTGTAAAGAGGGAAAAGTTGCCTTGCCGCTGAGCAGAGTCGGGCAGAATCCTGCATTGGCGCTGATAACATGCTTGGATTAGGGATGTTTAAGGGAAGGGAAAATTATTCATTTGAGATGGATGAAAAGCTGCACTTGTCAAGTCTCCCAGTCATGCACTTTCCATCTCATTCCCAGGAGCCAGAGTGCATATTTTCCCCTCAATGCAAATGTTCGCACAGTGAAATTGTGAGCACATTACCTCCTCTCCTTAAACACACCAAATGACACAGAAACTAAATTAAATTTTTGGGTGGGTAATTGAAGTTTACAGTGTGATCAGCTTTTTACATATTGTATATGTTGTGGCGCAACAGTGGATAAATCTGTTATAGTTTTTAGCTATACAACAGTGGTCCTCAACCAGGGGGGCGGGACCCACTAAGGGGCCTCGGGATGCTACAAGATAGCGTGCAATTATTAAAAAAAAAGAAAAGAAAAAAGATTGTATCTTAACAGTCATTTGTATTTAAGAACCAGTATTCTCAGGGTCTTGGAAATCCTGGGGCCTAAATAATGACAGTAGTTGAACAAACTCAAAGTTAGAGGATTAGTTTTTAGTTGACAAAACCAAACCAATTCAATCAGGCTTTGTTGGTAGTACCTTGACGCTGACTTTGTCAACTCGGGTTTTGATTCCGAGTTCATGGAGCGCGTGCACATGAAAGCGTGACATCAGTAGCGAAACAGCCAATCGCTTACCTTGAAACTTAGCAAAACTGCAATTCACTTGTCGTGAGAGATTCAGCAAGATTCATTTCTTTAAGAGATTGAAGAATATGAAGTACATAAATGCATTTGCACAGCAAGAAGAAAATATCTTGCTATATCAGTATAATCTAATATATATTTGATTCCAAATCTTATTTATATAACATAACTGTGTGTGTGTGTGTGTGTGTGTGTGTGTGTGTGTGTGTGTGTGTGTGTGTGTGTGTGTGTGTGTGTGTGTGTGTGTATATAAATATATTAATTTTAACTAAATGTTTAATAATTGTCAAACTAAAATTGCGTAGGGGGTATAATAATTACATAAATCGTAAAATAATGAAAATAATCGCTAAAAGCCAGACAATCTGCTCCGGGGCAGGTTAAGTTACCACGGTGCTAAAAGCCCAGAGTTGGCACAAAATATATAGGCCCCAGGATATGAGAGGATTTTTAAAACTCTGATTTCTAGACCTGGAAAAGTCATGGAAGTTTTTTTATTTTATTTTATTTTTTACAATGAATATACATTTTTCGTTAACACTTTATAATAAGGTCCAATTAGTTCACATTAGTTAATGCATTAACAATGAGCAATAAATGTATTCCAGCATTAATCTTTGCACATGTTAGTTAACGAAAGTACAAACGTCCAATTTTAGATCAGGTTAGTTTTAGTTCAATATTAAATATTAACAGAATCAACTTGATTTTAAATTATTGTTTTTTATTGTTCATGTCAATGTTAACTAATGTAACCTTATTGTTAAAGAGATATTTCAATCGAAAATGAAATTCATTATTCTTTCATTATTTACTCACCCTCATGTCGTTCCAAACCCGTAAGACTTTCGTTCATCTTTAGAACACAAAATTAAGATATTTCTGATGAAATCTGAGATTCATATGGATTCGTTTTATGATCTCTTTATGAAGCATCAAAGCAGTAGTTGTGTAGCAGTCAAAGGAGGGACAGAAATCGCTCAGATTTCATCAAAAAAGATATTAATTTGTGTTCCGAAGATGAACGAAAGTCTTATGGGTTTTGAAACGACATGAGGGTGAGTAATTAATGACAGAATTTCCATTTTGGGGTAAACTAACCCTTTAAGTGTTAACAATTTATCTAGTTATGTCAAGCTCAAAAATATTTTAATTTGAGAAGAATTTTTTTTATTTGGGAGTTTAAAATAAAAACCTGTAAAAATAACAAATGACCAGAAAAACCATTGGCAGTAAAGTGTATACCCTGAAGAGCATGGAGTTTAAAACTTTTGGAATTAATAATTATTTTAATATATTGCCAAACAAAATAAATGACCTATAGGAGAAGTACAAGAAATATTTTGAGTGGCCTCCAAATATTGTCTTTGCCAATGGGGGGCCTTGGAGTGAAAAACGTTGAGAACCACTGCTCTAAATCAAACTAAGCTATCCAGCGTTTAGGATGCGGTTACTAATTCTGAATCTTTCCTGCAGCCGGATGATACACGGAATATATCAGCTCCCCTATACAAACATTATGATCCGTCTGATGAGAGCCAGGGCTCCAGTCTGGATGGCTAATAAATTAGAAGCACGCTTCTCGTTTACTCATCAGAGCTAATGAGGCTGATAAAATTACCTTGAGGATCATAATTACAGACTAGTGGCAGAAGCGCTAGCACCATATCTGCAACACGCGCGCGCACACACACCTACAGGAAGAGAACAAACAGCTCAGCGGCCACCGCTGGACAAACAGAGTTTGACCTTTAGAATAAACTGTACGTCAGATAAGTGTAATGTATGCTTTTAATTAAACAATTAAACCGCGTCGCATTCGACTGAAAGCTTGCGACGCACGCAGCCCATGTGACATGTGCATCGCATTAGCGCACTTTCCAGCGAAAACACAAAAAAACGCTTAAGTACACTCCATTTTCAAATCCATTTTGTGTTAGTGACCTCAGTTTAGCTGGCCTTGATCAAGCAAATATGTAAATGTCATTCAGTTATGTGCCGAAAGAGAGACGCGTGTGCGCATGCTTGAGGTTAGCGATGGTGCATTTGAGCTGGCGGACCGATTTTTGAAATACCAGGCTGGTGACAAACAAGTCAAACCCCCGGCATCCTTTATCCCTTCAATTTCATCAGGCGGCTCATATACATTAAGCACTTGATCAGTAATGGCATCTTTTGATGGACACGGGCGGCGTGGACGCGAGCATTCACCTCGGAGAATTTCATTTCATCAGCCATTCACAGGACGAATTGTTTTACTTATGAATATTAATGTCCGCCTAATTTGAGGCTGTTGTTAATGCTTGTCGCTAGGAGCTTGGCAAATCAGGTCCCATTCCTGTTAAAACCATGTATTAGACACCCCCCTGACACTAAGCCCTCGCCTTTGATTCTTAATTGCAGGAGTGCGAGCATTTGCAGGAGATGGGGCGCAAAGCTTTAATTAACTCTAATATCACACGTATTCAGTCTCGACTGTCACCCGCATCACGCGTGGCGTTCTGCACCAATATCCTCCTCGGCTCCTCTCAGCTAGAGAGAGAGATGGTGTTCCAAGTTCATGATCACAATTTCATGCATCTTAAATTGGGGATGGATGGCCTGTAAGCAGTGGCATGATATTAAATGTGAGTAAATTATCTTAATGCATTTTACTAAAACCCATATTAAATGATGGCTGTATAAACGGCCGTTTTACAGCACGAGCAATGATAGGAACAACAATTATGGTTGCTGCAGCGAGCGTGGTGTCATTTTAATTTTCGGAGAAGGGAACCGACTGGAAGTGTGGGATAAACCGGGCGTTTTGGTTATTGTGCACTTCTGACCATTTCTGCATGGATGGGGTTTTCCATTTAACGTTTTTAGGCCTCACAATTCACGTGCGGACATCTGAAATTCAGAGATTGTGAGCATGAAAACAGTTGCTGGTACAATACACTAAGAAACTTCATTAAGATTTATTGGATAACTCATTTTAAAAGTCAAATATACAATAAATAAGCACATCCATTTGTAAAACATCTCTCAACAGAACTTTAAAAACTTCTTAAAACATTTCGTCAGTGGGTTTTTTCAAAACAGTTTGGTTTAAACACCATAAAGACATCTTTGGACGGACTATATTTTAGTTAGATGAGGAACAGTTTTAATTGAGCTAGGTTTAATAGACCAATAATCCGCGCCTCTCCAGAATTTTGCATTCTCAGGAATATAAAATGAACTGGAAAACTATGATAGAAATGCATGCAAGCTCATAGTGCCCCCTTCAGGTCACTGCACGCACTGCATCTTGAAGACACTAGATTTAGCAGGCGGCACAGTTCAACTTTTTTTTTTTTTTGGAGGTTAGAGTTAAATTAAGATGCTCCAAAGATTCCTGGATCACAGTCAAGAAGCATGCTTCAGCCAATCTTGGACATCTGTTTATCTGCTAATATAAGTTACCATTTATGTCTGAACAAGTGGGGGTGGAAGAAGAAAAAAAGAAAAAGAAAAAAAAGAAAAGAATTGTACATTTTGAACAAATATTCAAACTAGCCCACGCATTTAAAAACGAAGGCAAAAATAAGCAAATACTGTAGGACCAACAATGTTTAACACTTAAAGCAAATAATTAGAACAAGTATTAGCTAAATCAAATAAGTGAAAACTATCAGAACATAACCAGAATAATAATTTTAAAAAATAAAGTGTTTTTAAAGAAAAATTTTGCTCCAAGAACTCAAACTACCTCACTGAGCCGCCTGAGAGAGTTGTGATTCTTAGTCCCAAACCTTCTTAGGTGAAATCTGGACTTGGATCACTGTACAGGATCTGGATCACTGCACTCCAGTAGATCTGAAGTTCACTCTCCCATTGAAGCTTTTTTACTTCTCCGTCTAAATAACTTGGAGAAGGACGACTTGCGTTTGTTTTTAAACTTCTGAAGACCTGCACCCAAGACAGAAACAAAGAACGTTTTCATCTAAATGTTCTCCGCCGATTCGAGCTCAGAGTAGATTTGACAAGATCAAAACAACGAGAGCAAAAGTTCTCACCTAGTCTTTGCATCATTTCGTTCAACTGTTGATCTTCCTCCTCCTCCCTTGAAATGTGACATTACATTTACTTGGCAAAATTGCATTTACAAATGTGCAACTTTAGCAGTAGCACTCAGAAAGTATAGCATTTCATAAGCAGTGTGGTTTCTTCAGGACTTACCGTAACCTGTCCTCCTCCAGCCCCTCAACAATAGCGTTCCTGTCATTCACGATCTTCATCAGTCTGTTCAACAGCTCTGTTTCCCTCCTCTTCTCATCCAGAGTCTTGAGATGTTCTAACACACAAACAAATTGGGTTTCCATGTTTTATGGGGACCATTCAATGATTTTTATGCTGTACGTACTATATATTATTTCCCCTTACACTAACCCTACCCATCACAGAAAGCTTTCAGCATTTTAGATTTTCAAAAAACATTTAGTATGATTTATAAACCTTTTTTCACGGGGACCAAAAAAAAAAAATGTCCCCAGAATGTAGGGAATACCGGAACACGCACGTAATGGCTTTTCCACAGTCTTGTAAAACATGCAAAATGAGACCAACCAAGCATACTAAACTAGTACTGCTGCTATTACTTTTATCCTTTTTTATAGAATAGTTGACACGTTGATTTCACTTTGTATCACTTTTCAAATACTGTTAAAATCACAATTAATTGAGATCTATAAATAAGATTTATTTATAATTTGTGCTCATTTCTAAATGCAGACTTACCATAGCAACCAAAATAAAACCTTTTTTTCTTCCTTTTTTTTTATAAAAAACATTATTATTTATTTTACCATATTGTAAATAATGGATTCCTTGAGTGCAATGCAAGTCCGTTTGCACTGATTGAGACGAGGGTCATACAATTTTCCATATAGTTTTATATTAAAAAATATTATTTTAAATGGATTCCAATGAAATAAGTTCACAGTACTTAAGGTCTTAATGTTCACTGTAAGAAATTATTTTCATGATTTATCACAACTTTTTTTTTTACAGTGATCAAGATTTTTTTTACAGTGTACTTGCAGGAGAGTTGATTTACCCTAATATGAATTTGGGAGAACTTTAAAAAAATCGGTTTGCACACCTTTTTTTTTTTTTTGTTCAAAATGAAAAATTTCCAGTTTGACATTAATCCAGCATGACGAGTGATATTTACAGTACATTGCACTAGTTAACCTGGCTTCATTTTTACCTGGTTTATTAATTAATCTCCTGAGCTCTCCTTCTACTCCTGGCTGCTGCTCCTCCAGATCCTGTGTTCTTGCTCTGAAAGAGATTGATATCTGTAAGAACCAAATTTGACAGCAAGCGGACACACTAGCCGCTTTTCTCCCTAATTGTTTATTAGTCAATATTAAGAATTTTGGAAATGTTTTCATCCAGAAATTAGACAGCTAGACGAAATTACAATTGGTGAATACAGTATAAGGGATCACTTACATGTACATCAACTCTGACTCCCTGCGGATGTAGCTTTGTTTTTTCCGAATCAGGTTAAACCAGTCCACCATCAAGGGATCCATCAGAAGGTCCCCATGACCCTCTGTAAAACAGTCCAAAGTTACCAAGGACACCAGGGTCCTAAATGCACTGTTCACATCCAACCACATAAGAGACACCCCACCTGAGGCCACAATTTAAAGCGCTCTGGAGACGAGCATCTCCAAAAACTCACTTTCAACTTCTATTTGAGCTTTGATTGAATTCTATTTGTCTCCTAATAGAGCACTGTAATACGGTCTAAAAAGCATGTTTTCCATTGACATTGCCTTGAGGTGGTACAAAAAAAAACATACAAGTACAATCATACACGCACACACAAACTTAATTTCATCAAGTGGTGGTTTTGGCCTTGGTGGGAGCGAGAGGCAGTCAGGTTCTATGAAATCCCACCGGCTGCTAGCAGCAGGACAGGTGACTGGAGATGATATTACTGTGCCATGGTGACCTTGAAAAGAGCCAATCAAGTGCCCTTGCCCCACACAGCTAGCAGCCTCTCATTGGAGCCCACCGCCTCTTCTCCATTTTCATCCCAGCATCCCACAGGAGGAGAGGGAGCTTCCTCTGCGCCTCGCCTCATTTGGCCCTGGCTGCTGGAATCGAGAGCCTTTTATTGGCCACAGCCTTCCCCTAAAGGCTACATCGAAATTCCGGCTCCCAGGTGGACGGGCTCAGCTAACAGGTTTGGAATGAGTGCGCGTCTCACAGAACTCAATGAACCACCCACACACACACACAAGGTGCAGCAACATGCCGTGTAAAACACAATCTTGAATAGCACCAAAAGGAACATCTGATATCCCAAACAGCTTATTTTGTCCTAAACAACCTTGAAAGGGATCTTCAAATGTTACTTCAACTTAGAGAAATGAGGAACACAACCAATACATGAACTACTAATCTAATACCTTCTTCATAAACGCGAAGTCTCATCTCCAACTCCACACCTTCATTCTCCAAATCATTCAGATTGTTCTCAATGTCCTGCAGCTCTTTTGAGATCTGATCTGGTGTGATGTGGCAAGGCTTTATCTGAAAAGACACACAATATGATTAAACCATGGTGATGAGATATTTGATCATTTGGCAAAGGACAGTATACAACATTTGCAAAAACTTACAGAAGGTGACCTCGTTTCAAGCAGCAAGCCATTTTTGGATGAAATATTTCCATTGTCGTAACCTAAAATTATTTAAAAAGAAGAAAACTTTTTGGGGGGTATGAAAAGTTGAAGGCTAAACATTAGAGAGGCCAGAGACATGGTGGTGGAAAAAATATTTCTCAAAACTTTTTTCCATCACCATGTCCCTTTTAGGGACTCCGCAAAACATGGACATGAAATATGGATAAATTACTGCAAAACGTAAAAAAAAAAAAAATTTTTTTTTTTTTTTTTTATTCAACAAACAGAGCTTAGCCCATGCTTCTGTTTTCTATACAAGTGGTATAGATGGTGATTCACTAACTATAATAAGATAAAAAGCAATGAATTGCACCATGTGAACCATTCCGTTAGGGTTTAAAAATTAAAATAATTGTTACCATAAGTTTAGAAAATGCTTACTGGACATCGCAGACCTGCAGCGAGTTTGTTTTGGAGATGAAGCTTCGTGACAGGACTGAGAGGGCAAGACACAGTCGGGTTTCAAACCTGTGGTCAGAAGAAAAGTAAGATCATCATAAACGCAAATCATACCATGCTGCAGCTGATCTGGCCTGGACTTACCCTGCCCACGACAAGTCTCTCCCAAACATGAGACAACAGGACTGAATGGCTGGATAGGGGCAGAAGAACCTGGTGGTGTACATGCTCCATTTTGGACTGAGAGGGAAATAAAGTGGTAAACTTCATGCAGTGTTCAATGTACATCTAGTATTTGAGGTTTGCCGTTTAAGGTGATGTGACTGGCTTACCCCAGGTCCCTTGCTGCTGTTCCCTTTCAGTTTTCAGGGCAACATTGTTGGAGCAATGAGAGTTGTTTGATATAGAGGAGGCTGGAGCTCTTGAAGTATCTTGGACCTTCAAACAATGTTCACTTTTGTTTTTTCCACAAGTCAACGGGACATCCTTGGCATTACCATGAGATCTACAAAAAGTAAAATAACTTCACTACAACAGGACTAAGACTCAAAATCATCATTTCAAACCAGCATAAGCCGACGCTCACCTTAGATACAGTAGACGCAAACAAAACTAAAAGAATGATCAGAGGAACTCAAAGTAAGAGTCTAGTGTTTCAGAGGGGGCTGGTTTAGGCGCAGCACTCCTTGGGACTGCTGAGGATTGGGGATAGAGCGAGCGGATGCACTCGGAGGCAGTCGAACACTATGGGGGAGGCAGTAGGCATCCGCCGGCTAGAGAATGGATACATGAAAGGCCCCGCTGTCAGTACTCTAGCTCTGAAGTGTCATTGCAGCTCACACCCGAGTGACTTTGCCTGCTTCCCCTCGTGTGGATTAGAAAGCATTAGGGAGAACTAGGCTGATCGAACTTACTTTAGTCTTGGTCCATTTGGAGCTGCCTTTGGCTTTGATCTCCAGTCGGTTGGGGCGTCGCAGCTCTGAATATCTTTGGCTGAAGCAGAGGGAAAAATTATGGCAAACAAAAAGCACGAGTCTCAATATCAAATTATGCCATTTGAAGCCGTGCCGTCAAACAGAAAGGATTAAAATACTGCAGGGCAGAAATCAGTCTTACGATTCAATCTTCCTGACTACATGGAGAAAAAAACAAAAAAAAACAATGGATGCTAGCCCATGGCTTAATTTAACCGTTTTCCTGCCCATGTTCTCATCTCGTACTTATTGCGTATGTTTATGGAAATATTTCCCATGTGACCTTTAGAAACCATTTAAAAAAAAGACCACAATCCATATAAGCAAAGGTCATCTGTGAGCGAACACCACCTTTGGCAGTAGAAAGCAGCAGGGATGGAGGTCTGCTGCGCTCCTTGCTGATGGCACTGAGGTAGAAGGATTCTTTGCTGTTCATGCTGCTACTGCTGATAGCAAGGCTGGATGGAGTGGCCTGATGCAAGCTCCTTCCTGTTGCATCTCGCCCGTGTAACTCCTGCCTCCAGCTGGACACCTCAGCAGAAGAGCATCTGATTTTTATCCTGTGAGAGACATTCAGCATTCACACCATGATCATACGTACAATAGATGAACCAGCTATACTGACACTACCGTTCAAAAGTTTGGGTTCAGTATGTTTGATGATGATGGCTAATAGCTTATGAAAACCCCCAAAGGTTTTCATAGCTGTAAGCAATAATCATCAAAATTATAACAAATAAAGGCTTGAAATATCTCACTTTGCATGTATTGAGTCTATATAATATATTAATTTCACCTTTTAAGTTGAATTACTGAAATAAATTAACTTTTGTACGATAGATAAATAGATGATAGATATTCTGCCACTTTTGAGTTGATTACAAAATAAATTAAGTTATTAAACTAGTGTTAAACTTAACACAGTTTCCACAAAAAAATTAAGCAGCACAACACATTGATAATAAATGTTTCTTGAGCAGCAAATCATCATATTAGAATGATTTCTGAAGGATCATGTGACACTGAAGACTGGAGTAATGATGCTGAAAATTCAGCTTTGCCACAGGAATAAATATCTTAAATATTAAAATAGAAAAGTTACTTTAAATTGTGATTTAACAATATTACAATTTTAACTATTTTTGATTAAATAGCGTTGGCGAGCATAAAAGACACTTCAAAAAAAAAAGAAAAGGTATAAGGTATAGATCCCAAACATTTGAATGGCGGTGAACTGAATGGCAATTATTTGCCTACTTAAAACATGATCTCATTTCTCACCAACCATTGATTAAAGCCTTTTACAGTCTGTCTTTAAGGCCAGGTTAAATATTAACACTTGTAATTTTTAAAGGTGTCTAGAACCTTTTTTGAAAAATGCAGTGTTGTACTTGCCAAATCAATGTTATTAAATCACTGTTATTAACCTTGTAAATATGCAAATAAGAACATTAACACAGGGTTCGAGAAATCCTGAAACCAAAATACCCAGGATTTATGAACAGTGACAAACAACCCAGACTTTAAAAATCATGTAGGGGTACATTTCTGGTTTGAAAAACCAAATAGATAATTTTTCACCTGAGAAATTGTAGATCACTTATCAATAATACTTTAAACTATGACAGCAATGAGTCAGTCACTCACTGCCGGTGTGCTCCTGGGTCACTATTAAGCGCATTGTTGTTATTTCGGTTTCCTTCAAGTAGTTGTTTTCCGTTTGTCAGGGCACTGGTTCGGTCTTTCTCCTCCTTCAGACTGGCGTTCTGATTGGTGATGGACTCTGAGGGGCCTGACTGCTGTTTTGCGGTGGGCCGGTGCTCTGCTGCTGGGCCACAGGACTGAAAGAACTTCTGCCTGGCTGCCTGAGTCCTCTGAGCAGAGGCCGTCCATGACTGTGGAGCGAGACTGAGCTCCACTGGTCTGGGCACAGCCTTGACGGGTGTAGATAACACAGAGGTGTAGCGCTGTGAAGATGGCTGATCTCCACGGTCAGATTTGGGTCCCAAATCAGCGAGCGTAAAGCCACTGCTCTTAACCACAGGCTTGAAGCCATTTTGGGCATGTTGGTGAATAGTGCAGACCAGTGAGCCAGTGTCCGCTCCCAGTTTATATGCCCCAGATTTCAGCGTGCCATAGCATACACTACACCTGTTTAAGAGAGAGAAATCAATAATAATAAAAAGTTACAGCACTTTACCACTTGTGTTAAATTAGAAGTGTACATTGCAATAAAATAACTAAACCGTGCAGGATGAGTTACAGTACATGCCAAATTGCCATACTTATCAATATTTATGAGCAATAATAGCCATGCTTCCCAAGCACCACCAATGAAAACTCACTTAAAGCAGCTCCGGTGGTAAAGTTTCCCATCTACCAGGTGCCTCTGGACCAAATGCACGTGATTTCCACATACTGCACATTCACTGTTCAATGTGCCGGTTTTATTTGAGCTCTCCGCCAAAACAGTTTTCTACAAAAGATCAGATGAATGAAAACATTCCGAACTAAAAATCAATTTTCCAAATCATGACTGAATCATTAAAACTCATCTTTTTATAACTATGTCTGAAGACCAGTCATTTTTTTTGTTATGTTGAATAATCAAGGGAAAGCCAAATTGACACCTTCTCAGCAGCTCTGTGTGGTTGTGGAGATCTCGCTCTGAGTGGTGCGACGGGCGCCTGCACACATTTCGCCCCTGGAGATTTCTTCCAGTCTGTGCCAGTCTGCCGAGCTGGAGCAGCTAGAACGTGCTTCTCTGGAGCACTTTTCTGGATGCTAAGAGATGGAGGATGGTTGTCTCTGATACTTTTTGGCATTTCGGTATGAGGAGGACGGTTCTCTGTATTTGTTTTGAGATTGTGGTTTTTGGCAACCACAGGCAGATTCTTCTTCTCTGATGGCACCTCCTTTGAGTCCTCAGCATGCCGCTTGATACCTCCAACTCCCCCGACTGAAAATAAGAGACCATTGAGAAGAAAGTCTTAGAAATATGAATACACTGCATTTTTCTAATCGTGCACTACCATTATTTTTGCAGTATACTGTGCATACAATGCAAACTTTTTGTATGCATAGAATAGAGTCAAAATGTGCCGTATACAGCGGACCACACTAAAGCTATGTCTGCATTAATCCAGGTAAATTCTCTTTTCAAAACGCTCCACATTGGCGTGCAGGTGCTTTCCAAAAAAAAAGTTTCTCATTCATACTAAAACATCAGAAAACAAATCTTACTATGCATGGATAATAGTAATAGAAGCTCACATCTATACGTACAAGACGTGTCACTAAACATGCTAAAACACACACACAAATTTCGCTTTCCGCAAGCGCTTTCCTTTCAGCCTTTCGCCAATCTCGTCAAATTTACCGCTGTCTGCAGGCGCTCTCTCGCCCGACCCACGAGCAATGCCAAGTGTGCCATTCTAACCAGTTCTCAGAATAAACTGCTTATACAGTGCCAAATAACAGACCTCTCATTAGCCAGCTGTACATACGCATATATCTGCTTTATTCAGAGAAACCTCTCAGCTGAAGCGAATACACAAATGCATTCCATAGTTAAAAAGTAAGAAAATCTAAGATGAAATTAAATGTAGTAATTTTAATTATATAATACAATTAATGCAACATACTTCAATATAATTATAGGTGTGTTAGGATGAAATATAACTTCTTAATAGCATTATAAAGCTGTAGAGTAAGTGGGGGTTTTTTGCACACGTGTGGTTTCAGTTCTTATTTTTCGTAAATTTAGAATACATTTTTATTACGCAATTTTTTGGAGAATGAGACCCAGTGTTTTTTTTTAATTTATCCACTTAGAGGACGTTCACACAACGACGATGTAGTAAAAACAGAGAAGCATCCTTTTGCGTTTTTCATGTGTAAAGACACCCACATTGTCAAAACGATCTCCTTTCACAAGGATCCGCGAAAACGACTAAACGCTGTATTATTCATGTCAGTAGTTGGCGATGTCACTTTGTAAAAGAAACACTGTACACACCTATAGACTGAACATGTAATACGCAAGTGCATGTTGTCACTACTGTTACAAATTCACGTTTTTGTAGTTTACACAGAAACGTTAACAATATCGTTTTCAAAAACTTGCACCTTGAATCCCATTTCCAAAAGTTTGTTTTCAGACCCCAAAACACCGTTGTCGTATAACGAACGGCCAAAAAAACACATACAGTAAGTTTTCAGTTTTTAGTTGAAACCGTTGTCATGTAAACGTACCCTCAAGTCTTCAAAAAGCTCAATTTTCAAACAGCTGTCTCACTGTGGAAAGGACAAAACATTGAGAAATGGATGTGCTTTCATAAGTATTCTCAGATTAACAGACCAAGCCTGAGAGGAAAACTGGATCCAACTTGCCAGTAGATGAGAATATTGCATTGTGGGATAAAGTTATGAGTCAAGCTAAGACATTTACACAGTTAATAAAAATGGTGAAAAACTCAGTCTTACTTGGTGAGCGGCCGTGGAAGTAATTATAGTACTGCGAGACATATGTGAGGATGCTGAGTCTGTCTGGGACGGGCAATGCCACCATGTCCTCTGCATCCAGAAGAGCTGGGATTCCCAGATGGTCTTCAGCCACACGGAACGCCTGGAGCACATCACGCGACAGAAATCAGCCATTAAGTTCACAACACCACATCATCCATACAGAAGAAAACAGCAATTAGACAACCACAACTACAAAAAGACACACACAACTCCCTTTTGTTTATAACAACCACTGAACATCCTCATTCAACATGGCCTCATATGATTGTTTCAGGCCGCCAATATCACGCTGTGGCAACGGTTTTCTAGGGGAAATGAACTTGGCCAATTAGTTGTAAACGCAGACAAGGCACACAAAAAAAAAAGGAGTCGTCAAAAATAGAATAGGCCAGTAAGCAGCACAATCTGGCACCACATCAAGATGGCCCGAGCGGGGAGTGCATAATGAATAGCACATTTCCTGTGCACGCCGCGGCCTGGGAACGGGGACAGAAGAGGCGATACGATGGCATTGTTTAGGTCTGACCTGAACACAATCATTTTACAGGATAGCTGAGGAGGGGCGGCACATCCTCCATGATGCAGCTGCAACATCCTGTTTATCTTTTGTATAACAGCACTGAGAGGCTGATATGAACAGAGGTAAGTTAATCTTGACGGAGAGGATCAGGTGCCCTGTAGATGACTGTCACCCTTCTTTATAATGCATTAACTGGACAGACTCCACGCGGCTCGGGTTCAAAACTACAGCGGAGTGCTTCCTATAGAAGTGGTGAGGGTTTGTAACAGATCTCCGAGTGTGTGGCCTATAATTTACAGTCCCTGAGGAAGCAACCAGAGAAAGAGCTCATCATTGTGACAAAGTCCCAGTTGTGGCACGTCTCGCCACCTCATTCTCATGAGCACTTCCTGATAGGGAAGAAAAATAATTAGGTCATCGGTCCTGGTCGGACAGTGTCCCTACACTCAAACACAAATTAAATTGTCCATATAAGACATACATTAACAGAAGCCAGTTTCTGGGTAAATACAATTTCAATATACCATATTCTCTCATTTTAATTGGATATCTACTGTTCTTGAATTAGATTGAAGATTACAAGTTGCCAGTGATAGTTAAAATGCTTAAAGTGTTGAATTAATACATCTTTGAATCAATCAAGAGGGTGTAGTACTCAGTCAATGGGGAAAAAGAAGACCAAGTCCTGTTAAGTCAATTTTGATGGCTTAGGTCTTAGGATAATAAAAAAATATAGATTTCTTCCCTCTGTCCCAAGTTCCCACAGGACAAGTCTGAAACTTTAGACAGTTTCGCTAAAAGATACTTTCTGCAGAACTGAAAGATATCTTTATCCTGCCAAAAGATATTGCTGCAAGACTCGACCGATCAATAGACTCTTTTACTGAGCAACTAGTCTCTTTTGAGATTGCTGCAAAATTAGATCACATGCATTTCACAAGCAGTGGGAAAAGGGTCTCAAGCGCTCTTATTCAGGAGAAGAAACGATCCATGGATGTTGCAAACTACACAAGGCTGGGTCACAAACAAACATCCAGCCATCACGTTTCCAAAACAATCTTTCAAAGAAGGTTCAATAGTGTGTGCGCATTACCACAGGACAGTAGCAGACACACATCTGTACAGGATATGGCTAAAATTGGCAGTAAAACATGCAAGCAATGAGTCACACTGCATCAGGCATGTCTGTCATGGTTTCCTAAGATTAAGGCCAAACAGAATCACTTACCAAGTGGTTGTTGTAATACACATTGTCTTTGGAGAGAGACTCAAAGTTTCTGAAAGAAAAACAAGGACATGACTCAACAGATAGACACTTTGAGAAGTGTTACAACGTTGATGCTAAAATAAGTTAAAGCATCCTGAAAGGTGGTTTCAGGGTGTAAATGCATCAAACTGTAAATTAAACAATAGTGTTACAATAGGTCAAATGAGGCTATGGCAAAAATAACACCGAATGGATGCAGAAAAAGACAAATGTATGTAATTTGAATGTACAAAAGAAAGTGTATCTCAGATCCCCTAAATAGTCAGTTTTCACCATTTTTTTTTTAATTAGTTGCCTTCACTTCATTTTAAATAGTTCTCTTCTAAATGTTATAAATACACATACTACATTAAAATATGTCTAACGATATAAAGCTACAAAAATAATTATACAATCATTTAACGCTTTTTAAAATATTTTAAGATCACAGCATGTCAACTATTAATCTGCTATGATAATTCCATTGCAGGATAAAGTGGCCTCTGAAAGTTGGACAATTCAGCTACACACTGAAAAATTAATAATCAACACTTAATTTTACCCTGTAAAGAAACGATGCTAGAGTGTACTAACTTTTCTTTGCCATTTTCGTCTGCCACTCAAATGGATGCATGAAGTCAGTTCTCCTCATGTTCACAGATCTGAATATTCCAGAAAGTGTCCAAATACTTTGTCTTAATAGTGACCAGACATAGATTCAAATGTAAACGTCCAAATACTTTTTGCATATAGTAGCTATAGACCACACTAAAAAGTTTAAACATCCCACACTCCTTTTAAAACTCTTGGTATATTGGTATACTTTACTCTCATAGTTAGTTAACAAGTTCTGCATCCTAATCAACGACCGTTTATAAATAAACGTCTCTTACATGAGGTCCGGTCTGAACTTGTGGATTAAAGCACAGAAGGCCAGTCCATCTTTGAAAGATGTGCTCATGTTGTTGATGGTCACATCTCTATATCCATCGCACTGATTCTTACACCACTGGTGGAGCGCCTTGATAGCCGCCATCCTCTCCAGAAGCCCTTACTGCCAAAACACACGGGAGATTGTGTTTTTTAAATGACAGAAAACGAAAGACGTCGTTTGTTCGACGAAATGACGAAGCATGGGAGAAAATGACTGCGGAGACAGTGCGGGAAGTCACAGTGAAAGAGAATAAAAAGAGTTGAAGCTATGTGAATAGAAAGCGGCGTTTCCTCAGAGCTGTTCACGACAGCAGAGCAGCGAGCGCGCGCGGCACCTGTGGAATAGTAGACAGAGGAAATCAAGGGGGAGGAGCTTCTAGTCATCAATACTTAAACGCTAATTGCTTTATTTGTCCTTTTTCTCGAATTTTTTTTTTTTTTTTTTTTTGGGTCGTTGATGTATCTGTTTAATATGACAACTACACGCATGGTCTTTATGTGATGAAATTAAGGTATGAAATGCCATTCCAGAAACGATATGCTCTTACAGTAATCAAATGAAAAACACTTCTGTTTAAGTCATTTCAACTTTTTACAGTTCAGTTTATACTGGACAAAGTATTAAAATAAAAATTGTAAGGTCAGAAATTGTTCTTGTCATAAAAAAAATCATTTCGCTAACTTCTAACATGAAAAACTGGCAATTTATATATGTAAAAAAAAAACAATTAAATGTAAATGTTTCAAACCAAAATGATTAATATATACTATTATTTTGACTTACAAAGTTTGTTAAGCTTGGTGTTTCTATGCGGAACAAAAAGGTAAACATTTTATGAAACAATATTTTGATTATAATTAGGTAGGTTTAAATGTAGCTTTTTAAAGTTTTGTGGCTTTTATAAATGATTTTGGAAAAAAAGAAATGCCTTAAAACTCTTTAAATTAATTGCCATACATCTGCAACCTGCTTTAAATTTAATCCATGTTATAGCCTTTGCATTTCCTGATAATTCCGTGTAAATAATTAAGTCATAATTAATAGTTTCAGTGCTTCAGCTCGACCAGACTATATATATATAGGCTATAATATATATATATATATATATATATATATATATATATATATATATATATATATGAAAGCCTAGTCTATGCTTTATAAAAATATTTCCTTAAATTGCAACAAAGCACAGTTTCATTTACAGAAGTAGACTACTTAATAACAAGAATGACCCATATTTTTTATAATACAGGCAGTGTAAACAACGTGGAATGTGTTTAGGATGAAACCACAGGGTGCTGCAGAAGATGTGTACAACCATCAGCATAAATCAGTTCAGATTTTTTGGAGCATGAATAGGAATGTTTATAATGGCTTCTAAACAAGGTCAGACTGTCAATCTCATTTGCATAGGCATATAAACCCTGAAAAACAAACCAAAAACCCTTTAACGTTCAGCCCCCTCTGACGAAGAGAGCTTGTTTGCCTTTAAAATATACTAAAACAGATATATTTGCTTAAAAATGGTCTAAACCTCATTTCATAAACATAATCTACAATTTATAATTCTTTCATATTGATGTCCAGGATGTTATAATCCTTGTGTGGACAGAAATACCAACACCATTCAGCTGTCCTGAGGCAGGGAGAAAGAGATTGTTTTCAGTGTAATTTCAGATGATCCACCTCCTCTGATGGTTTTAAGTTTGACTGGTGAGCATCTCAAGTTGTGGATGGGCACAGAATCAATGGGATTATTTATAGCTTGACACAGAACTTCAGAACGACAGAAACTGGAGTATGATGAAGCTGTGACAATCTGAGCTAGTTACATTTTAAATCCTCTCCCATATGCATGCATAGACGTACTGTATTGGTGTAAGAGAGTAATGACTGTTCTGGTTAAACAGACCTGCTTAATCTCAAGACAATATGCTCTTAAACTCAAGAGGACCTTGTTGCCCAGAGGAGGGCACTCTTACTCCACACTGGCTCAGAGAACCAATGACCTAAAGACAAATGCATTTCCTGGCTCTTCAACAAGGGCTTTGGCTGCACAAACACTGCATGAAGCTGACTGCGATTCTGCTGATCCCACAGGAAATTCCCTTATTGAGGACCTTTAAATTCATTCGACATGGAACAGGTGCTGTGTCCACATTTTCAAATATACCACCATGGGACCTGCAGTTCAGAAGTTATATTGTTCTCAAGGGTCAAAGCTCTGATCAAACACTGCCCAGGATTATAGCAGATTTTCTTAAAAAGCATGTAAATGCCAAGCATGAAATAAAAGTGATTTCCAAAAGCATGCAATAATTAAATAAGAATAATCAACATATATTGTGGGTGGGAAAAGTACATAAATCAGTGTATGCCCTCAGGCCGAAATGCGTAGATTAATTTTTTTAATGGTTAAGTTAAAGTTTTAATGGTTAAACCCAATTTATTAAAGGCCTTTTATGCTTAACCATGTGAGTGCCATGGCATATTTTGTTGCTTCATACATAAAAAAGTGTGTTCCGATCTTTAAAAAGCATTTGTTAGAAAAGGCAGGCATTTTTCAGTCATCCCCATTGTGTTTATGGAGGGCTTGTGGCAGCTTGCAGACATCCTGTGTTTCCTCACAGGGTAACAGGATAGCTGACGGCAGAGATGGCCATCGATGAGATCACCAAGAGTTTCCTCTTATAGTTTCTCTTGTTCACTAGCTGTCGCTCCAACGACATTGGAGAAAACATGGTTACCTTTGTAAATGTAGGCATAAAGCGATGCAAACAAAATGCAACAAAGGCTCATCATAAAAAGATTTAAAGGCTGTATATGAATTGTTGCTAATCATAACAATTAAAGAGCATTCAAAATACTACAAATAAAAATATGAAATAAAAAACAACCTAAAATGAATATAACAACCTCACATTTGTCTGTATGTAAAACAAAACGTGTATAGACATTGTATTTGCACTTTTTACAAAATACTAGCAAAACTACTGACCAAAAAGTATTATGATGAGTTATTATTGGCTTCACAGATAATACATGACATTGTGACCAGTGTTGGGGAAAGTTACTTTTGAAAGTAATGTGTTATAATTGTGCGTTACTTTCTAAAAAAAAAAAAACTAATTGAGTTATGTTATTATGGAAAGTAATGTGTTACATTACTTTTGCGTTACTTTTTCTCTCCTGGGCTGGGCTTGGTTGTTTGTTTTTTAATACCAATTATTTTTAAATTGCAAATGTAAAGGTTCTTTCACACCAAAAGTAAAATGAATAAGCCTCAGGCTGAAGGAAACACAAATTCATACCTATACAGTAGAGGGCGCAGTTAAAACAAACCTTTCTGCTGCCATTATGGATTAAAGAAGAATAAGATGCAGGAGAAGAAAGTTTAACACTCTTACTTCAGAAATAAAAACTGAAATAGAAATAAAAACTAAAATAGAAATAAAAACTAAAATAGAAACAGAGATGTTTATCTAAAGTCATTTTTGCATATTAGTATGGATGAACTGGATCATTGAAGGTCAACAGCAAAGACATTGATTAATAAAGTGAGATTAAATACATAAAGTAGGGCTATATTTTGAAGTATACTAAATCTGTTTTTGTTCACGTGAGATGAGTAAATGCATGTTCACATTTAGGGTACATTTACACAACAATGATATGCTTAGAATGGAAAAGTTTTTCCTTTTTTTCCACGTAGGCTACAGACGACACCATTGCCAAAACGATCCCGATTCACACGGATCCGCGAAAACAACTAAAAAACCTGTATTTTGCTTCCAGGCCATTAGATGGCGATGAAACACAATAGACTGAACATGTAATGCGCATGTGCATGACGACATCGTCTTCAGAGATTCGCGTTTTTGTTGTTTATACGGAGACCATTTTCAAAAACTTGCACTTTGAAACCCATTTTCAAAAGTTTGCGTTTTCATCCACCCAAAACGCCGTTGTCGTGAAAACAAACGACCAAAACGCATAAGAAGTTGTACATTTTTAGTTGAAAACGGTGTCGTGTAAACAGCTCCTTCTAGAACTAGAATAATAATGATCATACAGCGCACACAACGTCTCTGCACTTACACACAAATTCTCTCAACATGGGGACAGGAGAGCTGTCAGTATACATTTGAATTTAAAGTAACTTGGGGTAATTATTTGGAAAAAGTAACTCAGATATGTTGTTGTTGTAAATTTAAAATGCGCTACTTTACTCGTTACTTGAAAAAGTAATCTGATTACATAACTCGCGTTGCCCCTCCCCCCCCCCCAACACTGATCCTGACAATCTGAGAAGCAAAACAATATAGAGATTACATTTCTATTTGCTTTTCTCAGTCACATTGGTTAACCTCATTGCGTGTGTAATTGTGCATTATAATAAATAATGAATTGACTGGGATTCCTAATGTGTCCTGTGTGATCATCGTGAGGTAATGGACGATGGCCACATCTGCTTCAGTCTCTGTCCAGGACTGTGGCAGGTACCTGTGTCTTCATCTGCCTCTCTCTGCTGGCCTTGACCACAGTGCTGTGGATCTCTGCTTCATAGTCCCTGGCCTTCGCCCTCAGTTTGGCAATGCTACAACAGCGGAAGTCCTCCGCACTGGACACCTCTGACCCGTCCTGATCCCTCACGGGGCTGTGAATAACTGATGAGGAGGGTTTGGGCCAAGTGGGGCTTCCTCTGTCCTGTTTCCTGTCCCAGCATGGGCTGTTGCTGCTGTGGAGTTCAGGAGCTGTGTTCCTGCTGGACGACTCGGTCTGTCTGTCGTCACTGTCGTGCTGGCCGCACTGTTCCCCTGCCTGGCTTTGAAGCTTCATTTGTCTGCGCATTTTAGCCCTGCGGTTTTGGAACCACACCTGGAGGAAGAATAGATAAAATACATATATTTAAATAAAGCAACAAAAAAAAAGAAGATATTGACATTTTTATTGTGCTTTTTTTTCTTTTTAGATTATATGAGCTATATTAAATTAAGCAAATATTCACAATATTAATATTGCCTATAGTTTTCCAGTAAAAAACTGAAATAAAACAATTAAAGTTTTTTTTTCGTATTTTAAGAATATTTAGTAGAAAATAGATCAAACTGACTCATGACTCATATAAAAAAATCATTAGGAAAACCAAAACACAATTAAAAAAATATATATATACCTTTTTTTCTTCAGTTTTGTCTCTCAAGTAGATTTAAGTCATGTAAAGTTAAGTCATTAAAAAAAATATATAATAAAAAAACATATATATATATATATAGCTATATATATATAAAACATATATAAAAATGACTCAAGAAAATTAGTCAAAACAAAACTCATTGTGAAAATTTAAAAAAAAGACTTCAAGTTTTGTCCCTCAAGTAGATTTTTCTTATTTTACACGTAGATAAAATAAGAAAATTATTATATATATATATAATTTACTTTGAGTCATTTTTATATATATTTTTTAAACTATTTTTAATATATATATTAAAAATGGTGTAATACATATATAAATCATGTTTATGTTATGTCATTGCATCTCACTGAAAATGTCGAGGAGGAAAACTAAGCACGTTAAAGAAGAACAATGCATGCTTATAATTCTGTGGAATTAAAACAAAACGATAAAGAAATGACACTTAAAAATGTCATCTCAGCAGTGGTTCAGAAAAATGTTTAGCTATAATATTCATATAATCACATCTGCATCACAACAGTCAAAGAGAGCATTGCAAAAGCGACCTGCACTCTGGCCTCAATCAGGTCCAGTCTGAGGGCCAGGGCTTCTCTCATGAAGACGTCTGGATAGTGAGTGCTCTCGAAGGCCTTCTCCAGCTCCTCCAGCTGCCAGCTGCTGTAGTTGGCCCGAGCTCGCCGCTGCTTCACTGGCCGGGGTTCATCTGGAAGCCACATCGAAGCCACCAATTAGACAATTGCCAGAGGCTGACAAGGAACTAATGGCTCTAGATTGGATAATTAGCGCAGCGTTCATTAAGCCCTCTTCAGCAGAGCCGGATAATTGATTGTTAGTTACGAGCTGTTAGCCAATCCTTTGTAAACATTTTGAATCCTATTAAATACTGTAAAATGAGGATGGACAATTATGAGAGAATTTGATTCACAAATGGCCTCTCTTAATAAAAGCTACACATATGTATTATTAAGAGCAAATCACCTAAATAAATATACAACACCCAAAGATATACCTTTTTCTATCAAGCTTCCCCCCATACATCACATTATATTAGGGAGCAATCTTATCTCAAAGGTTTTATTTACATATTTTACTACACATAAATTATTTATATAATTTTATTACACACCTCTCTGGAATACTTGATTCTGATCAGTCAGTTATGGTTCTGTGGTCAAATATGTATTAAACTGTATAATGGATTGCTGTTGTAGGCAATCAATTTCCTAAATGTCTCTCATATCACTGTGGCCTCTTTCGTCGCACATAATAAAGTGATTTCAATGCAAAATAAATATTTCATGTGCATATCTATTAATCTTGTGGCAAGAGGAATAATGTAAACCCTCCTTGTAACAGGGTTTATTTTGTGATAATGACAGGAAGATTGTACACTAATAAATATATATATATATATATATATTTGTGTATGTGTATATGTATATGTGTATATGTATGTATATATATGTATGTGGATTAGTATAGTATGTATATATAATATATATATATACACATACATACATACATGCATATATACATACATATATACATACACAAATATATTAGGGCTGTCAAATGATTAATCACGATTAATCACATCCAAAATACAAGTTTTTTTTATATAATATATGTGGGTGCACTGTGTATAATTATTTTGTATATATATATATAAATACACACATATGCATGTATATTTAAGAAAAAAATATTATTTATATATAAAATATTTATATTTATATATAATATAAATTATATATAAATCTATATACAGTATATACATGAAAATATTTCTTAAATATATACAAGCATGTGTGTGTATTTATATATATAAAATAATTATACACAGTGCACCCACATATATTATGTAAAAAAAACTTTTATTTTGGATGTGATTAATCGTGATTAATCATTTGACAGCCCTAAATATATATATATATACACACTCAAATGAAAACTTCACATAAAATATAAGATGTCATTAGATGTTACAACATAAATGACCAATTGCATTGAGCTCACCGATGTTCTCAGCATGGTGTCCTGCAGACTGAGCGGCCAATAGCAGAGCCTGTTTGCAGGGCTCAGGCTGCAGGTAACTGCGCAGGAGCTCGTAGCTGAGCAGAGGCCCGGGGATGAGGATCTGCGGAGAACTCAGCCTACTGGGGAACGCTGGGAAGAAGTGTGCAGCCGAAGAGTGGAAGACTGCAGACGACAGAGGAGACACCAAATGCCCAGTGCCAAACATGGCCCAGGTTCAGCAAGGTCCTTTTGGTCCAGAGAGAATTCCAGAAATAGACGGTCTAATGTAGGCTATGTATGTGATGAACAGTCGTCTTTATAGGCGTTGGAGGGTTACAGAAGAACAAACTAGAGATCCAGTTGGAAGAGAACTTCCAACTGCTCCAGAGTCAAGACTACTTTTCTCAGCTGATTCAGGTGCGAGTCCCACCCTCTCCCTGAGTCACATGACTCACCTATGACTACTAATTCTAGTAAAACAGGGCCGGGTTTGAAGGAAAGCACCCAATCATAGGGCACCATTGATTCCATGCTTGATTTAAGAGGTTTCTTCAGCATCACTCTTAAGGAGACATCCACAGTGACACCTAATGCCTCCAAATCCACACCTTGGCTGAAGGAGTAAATGAGTAATAACCCCCAGTTCCATTCGGGGAGGAGTATATGGAAAGACCTGTCATTCTGAAGTATTCCATAGACAAGTTTGGGCACTCTTCAGCTTCTTAGTTCGCTTATTAATATGACAAAGCAGACATTTGGAATTGGAGTGTGGTGAGAAAATGGGGGGAAAGCACCATTCCTGAGCTGCAAACACTTTCAAAGACACGTACAACCGCCAGCGAGACCTGTTTGTCGCTCTAGCTTTGCTGTAGTCGTGTACGAGGTTTAGATTTAACAGATGGATATTAAATCATTAAGGGAGAATCAAAAGGTTCACAGCTGAGAAACGTTCAGTAAGAAAACCCAATACAAACAGAGCTTTGGTTGAAATCTGCAGAGAGGGCAAATAAACAGCCTCTGTTTACACAGTAAACACATCACACTAATTGGCCCACATAATTGACATCCATTTACAAGTCCATTTGCAGCATTTGGGTGTTTGTATGACATTCATTTGCGATACAACATGACTAAATGAAAAAAATCCTTCAGGAAAGGCTTTGATGAGTTTTTATAATCAACATGCTCGTCTTTGGCGAAAGCGTTTTTCCCTATGAAATGGAGAATGTGTGGCATCAACTGGGAATTCTGCTGTCAGATTAAAATCCATCGCCTTTGTTTCTAAAGACGTCTAAGCCTGTTATCTCACTCAAAGCCTTCTTCACATTAGGAATAAGATCACCTGTCTAAACAAGGTGTATTGTTCAGTCCTGAGCTAAGGACAGAGTTCACTAATAATGGTTTTGGGTCATGGATCTCCGGTCTTTGAAAACAGATCACTTTCCCAACTAAGACCAAATTGTACTTAGAGAGGAATGCCACACTATTCACTACAGCACGTCAAAGAATTATACACTTTTCATGTAGATAATAGAGAATTGTTAAATGAATAGTTCACCCAAAATTGATTCTGTCAACATTTACTCACCCTCATGTATTGACTGAATGCCATAAACACAAAAGGTGAATTTCTGAAGAATATCCTCTTTTCTGTAGAATGAAACTTGATGAGAATTGAGAGTGTCAAGATCCAAAACTGATTTTTTTTTTTTAAAAAGTATCATGAAAGTGGTTTATGACTCAAGAGTTCATGAGAAAAGTAGTGATGTCATGAATGAATCAGCTCAGAGCATTAATCGGTGATTCAATTTGCAAAACTAGCATTAATGATTCTTAAATGCTGGACTACATAACTTAAAATCGGAACAGATTTTAATACACTAATTGGCAACTTTGTAAATGGTTTCAGAAAGAAAAACTGGCCATCATTCAATAAAAGACCAATGATCACACAGTCGTTCAGAACACGACAAGCTCACGCAGAAACATGAGCCATATTGCTTTAGTCTGAATCATAAAAAATCTGAGTCTGTGCCTATCATACACTCCGCCTGCCCAAAATCTTCAAACTAGTGTCGATTCTTCCAGATTCTGAATCGCGGCAAAAGTATGTAAGTCAAGACAATGATCAGGTTGTATTAGTAAGCAGTTCACTGGAAATAAAAATCATCGGTGTATAACAACTAAAAACGTGATCTGTTTATAACACATAGCAATCACGTCAGAAGACTCAAAATACGGTGCACAAGTCAAACGGACTTTATGATAATTTCCTGCAGTCTTTTTTGAATCTTAAAAACTCCAGGCAGACCAGATCGCCATAATAATCAATACATTATTTTAAAATTGTAACAGTGTCCTATACACTGTTAAAAAAAAAGTCGCTGCCTTAATTTTTAAGTACAATCAACTTGGATGTTTAAGTAATTTTAACTTAAATTACATTAAAATGACTTAAAAAATATGTTGAATCTTGTATAACTTATAAAAAAGGTTGTAAATTGCTTAACTTATTTTGATGAGTTTAAAGGGATACTCCACTTTTTTTGGAAATAGGCTCATTTTACAACTCCCCCAGAGTTAAACTGTTGAGTTTTACCGTTTTTGAATCTATTCAGCCGATCTCCGGTTCTGGCGGTACCACTTTTAGCATAGCTTAGCATACATCATTGAAGTGGACAAGACCATTAGCATTTCTAAAAAAAAAAATGACCAAAGAGTTTCGATATTTTTCCTATTTAAAACTTGACTCTTCTGTAGTTACATCGTGCACTAAGACCAACGGAAAATGTAAAGTTGCGATTTTCTAGGCTGATATGGCTAGGAACTATACTCTCATTCCTGCGTAATAATCAAGAAACTTTACTGCTGTACCATGAGTGCAGCAGGCGTAATGATATGACGCAGCGCCTGAAAATAGGCTACCTTCCGTCAACACAACGGAACTATTTTCAGGCGCTGCGTCATATCATTACGCCTGCTGCACTCATGGTACGGCAGTAAAGTTTCTTGATTATTACGCAGGAATGAGAGTATAGTTCCTAGCCATATCAGCCTAGAAAATCGCAACTTTACATTTTCCGTCGGTGTTAGGGCATGATGTAACTACAGAAGAGTCAAGTTTTAAATAGGAAAAATATCGAAACTCTTTTTTTTGAAATGCTAATAGTCTTGTCCACTTCAATGATGTATGCTAAGCTATGCTAAAAGTGGTACCGCCAGAACCGGAGATTGGCTGATTGGATTCAAAAACGGTAAAACTCAACAATTTAACTCTGGGGGAGTTGTAAAATGAGCCTATTTCCAAAAAAAGTGGAGTATCGCTTTAAGCAATGTAAAAACATGTTGTCATAACTTATTGATCATATTTTTCTCTTTTACAGTGTAGAAGTCATGGATTCAGAACAACACGACGTGAATAAATGATGACAGAAGTGTCATATGTGGGTGAACTTGCACAGAAACGACTTGTCACAACACAATAACGTTTAAAAAGAGGCTAGTGGATCACTGATAACTTAGAATAACATAAATTCTTCCTGTTTCAGACATTTGTACTGAAAGCAGACAGCATCACACTCCGAACATCTGCATCCCTGTTGCTGATGGATGTGCGAAGAGTTGTCAGGATCTCTCGGAGAACAAAACACAGGTGTGTGAATTAATTCCCAGGAACATTTCACCTCACAATCATCTTTATCCACCCTCTATCCGCTAATCAGATCAAACTGCAGAGAGATTCAAGAGCTGTCACCAGCATCGGCGTCAACCGCTAATCCTGCGCTAACTTTGATCAGATCCAGACATCCACGGTACACAGCTGGGCCGATCTTGGTTGAGTGAGTCACTGACTTTAAGGCCACAGCAGCACTGAAGGACAAAAACTCTTCATGCAGCTGTCAAAACAGCGAGGGATCGAAGTCCAATACCTACCTGCTTTTCTCATTCTTTCAGAATGGTAATTATTAGAAAATGCTTGCATATCCTTTTCCACCAACAATCTGGCCGGGTTCAAATACATCTGGAGACATAGAAATGCCACTTTTATCTGAAGCGTGAGGCATCCTGTGGTTACATTCCTAAGGGGCGCAATGGTGAAAGCTTAGAAATCACTCCTTGCTGCCGTTGAACCCACAACTTTCAAGTTGCCAGCACTTGTAACCACTAGGCCTAAATCAAATTGTATGTGAAACCAAAAAAAAGGAGTCAAAGAGATTTCAGAGCCATTCCAAGTTAATTGAAGGAGGCATTAGGGCAACAATGGCAGTAGATCTTGCAGGCCTGTATTGATCTTTTTTCGACTCACACTTGTCCCGAGACTCTGTGCCGTCATTTGAATACACAGGGGCTTAACAACAACTCACAGCATCAACAATGGCTCAAAGTGCTTCTGGGCTTTACTGAAGACATACGAGGAGATTGAGTTTTCTTTAAATCAGACAGAGGAATCAAGACAAGAGCGTGAATATTCCATTGAGGGCGAAGTCCCGAAAGTCAGTGGTTTTAATACGGAATCCTAATTAAAGCAAATCACTGAAATATTAGATGGGAAATAGACTTCCTGAATGGGTCGTCCAACATCATCAAACAATAAACAGAAAATACTATTTGATAGGCTTAATTCAAGACACCGCTTCCCATTTCAAGTGTTTCTTAATGTGGCATAAATTCTCTTGATTGATATATTTCTGATGCGGTTTATAATTTAGAGGGGTTAATTGCTTCTACAGCAACTGGAAATGATTCCTGCATTAATATGTGGCAGGATTGAACTTCTTGTTAACAATTCAAAGAGAAAGGTAACTCGCTAAAGAAAATGCCATAACCATATTTTTTTATTCGCATCCTATCCAAAAAAATGAAGTGAATATAAACGTTTCTCAACTAGTTTTGCTTCAGGACCGAGAGTTTACTTTGGACAATATGTGGATTTTTTTTCTTTAGTAATATACCATTCAAAAGTTTGGAGTAAGAAGATTTCTATTTCAAATAATTAAAAAAACATTCTTAAAACTCACAAGAAACACTATTGCAGTTACACAATTCATTGCCATTTCCAACGGTTTTCAGCATTGATAATAATCAGAAATGTTTCTTGAGCATTATATCATAATTTTAGAATGATTTCTGAAGGATAATGTGACACTGAAGACTGGAGTAATAAAAATGACAGGAATAAATTACATTTTAAAATATACTCAAATAGAAAAACGTTAGTATTTTTTAACCAAATAAATGCAGTCTTGGTGTCCTTTGCATCGTATATCAAACCACAGCCTCTGATATCAGCTTTGAAGCGATCAAATTCTCCTGAGGATATGCCAGCACAGGCTCTTGGAACAAT